TATAGGGGGCCTACTGATAATTTAGTTCAGAATAATATATATATATGATTGGTTTTAGTTTCATTATAAGAATGGAAACCTCTATTACAACCATTACAGCCTATGATTACAACAATAACAATCGGATAGAATAGACGGTGGAAATACCGAAATAAAAAAAACTGTAAAATATGAACATTTTCCCATTTCCTCCTGAAAGTAGTGGGAGGGGGTGAGTAATTGTAAAGACGCATCATCGGCGAAAAGACGTATATACCCGTATATAGAACTTAGGTCAGTATAGAACTTAGAAGTTTAATTATCAGTTTTTTCTCTCTTATCTGGTGAGTAGGCCCTCTAGCGGCCGTTACGATCAGGAGCGGTAATCATTAACGTTATCTTATCATTAACGTTATATTAAAAAAGTGAAGTCTGCTGACGACATGCATATCACAGACTATAACGGATACATCCGTATCCGCGTGTAAGTTTGTTGCGCATACCATCATGCTCTTCGCCAACCCAATCAAGTGACCCGATACAAAATTTTAAATGAACGCGGCGCAGCCAATCAGCGCTTGCTGTTATCCTTCCTCTGAACCGAACCGTCACTTTTAAAGCTCCCATTGAACTCTGAAGGCTGCACGCGTTTCTGAAGTTGTCCCGCTTTGTCTCATTCTCAATCTGATTTGAAAGGTATGGTTTATACTTAGTACACAGTGGTTGTTATTGTCATTATAGTTAATTATTACGTTGAAATTTATTTTATCACGTAAGTCTCGCAAAGTTCAAACCGCTTGTAAAACTGTTCGCGCAAAGAGAAAGCCTTAGCCTAGGCCTAAAACTAAAGTAAAACAACACTCAACAGTTAGTTACTAAGTTAGGCCCTAGGCCTAAACATTTATTAATTTTAACGACGAGCCAGTTTACATTGCTACTGTGGCAGTTACAAGCGGCCCAAGGATAGAGAACATGGGTCCCAATAAAACCAATGTGCCTAACCCTAACCCTAACCCTAACCATAACCCTATTACCTAACCTATTAATATTATATTGATATAATATAATATTTATATTGATGTAAATGACATTGGTTTTATTGGGACCCATATGTTCTCTATCCTTGAACCTTACAGGCTACCAAACTAATAACTAGCCATATCGATCAGTACAAATGTATGTCGTGCGTGTACGGTGTAGACTTCATTAGACATGACAGCACAAGTTGGGCCTACTGAAGTAGTATAGTGAATATAGCTCTAGTCACAGGCACTTGAAGCGTTTCAACTGTAAACACACGCCGCCGCCATTGTGCGCACACTGACACATAAATATATAGTTAAGTATATAAATAACATAAACAGGGTTCTTGTTAACTTTTGACAAAGCAGGTAATTTGACAATGAATAGCAGGTAACTGTTTTTCCGGCACGGACGGTAGGGCGAGCGGCGAAGGCGCGAAGCCCTGCTAGGGGGGGCCGGGGGCATGCACCCCCGGAAAAAAATTTTGCATTATTTTTACGAGACATCTCACGATTATGCTGCTCTCCGTGGATATACTCGCCTGTACGTTGCCTCTTTTTAAAAAAGACTTCCAGGGAGGTCTGTTTTTCCCCGAAGAGTCCATGCTCGTTCCGCCAGCGGTAAACTGGTAACGCGCGCGCTTTGCTGAAGTTCGTTTGAAACGGCACTTCTGATTGGATCTCGCCTATACGACACCACCAATCAAATTGCTTGATATGTATGAAACTTCCGCTTGTCTGTGTGTCCGCACGAGGGTAAACAAAATCGCCGGCGACCCGCCCGTGCACAGAGTTAGTCTTGGGTTGGAAGTATTTAAAATAAACTTCTTTTTTTCAAATATGGATTAAATATTTTACCGCCTTTAGTGGGAGTTTCTCTCAAATTGATAGCCGGTAACAAATTGCGCGATAGGCGGTAAAAATAACCGGTTACCGGCTATTAACAAGAACCCTGCATAAATAACTATAAGCATATAAGTAACATAAATATATATTTATGTGTCGGTGTGCGCGCAATGGCGGCGGCGTGTGTTTACAGTTGAAACGCTTCAAGTGCCTGTGGCTCTAGTAGTAGTATTGCTGAGAGGGTCTATGTCCCCCAGGGTACTGCCAGAACGTACCCTGGGTACTAAATACTACTATCTAATATGCCGGACCGTACCTCGCCTACTCCATTAACAAGTCTAGGGAGTCGCTTACGCCTACTCCCTAACACTAACCCTAACCATAAACCTAACCCTAAACCTAACCCTAACCATATCAGCTAGATAGTTACCAGGGTACGTTCCGATATACCGGACCGTACCCAGGGTACGTTCCGGCTGTACCCTGGGGGACATAGACCCTATGAGCTCTAGTATTACTATTACTATTAGTAACTATAGCCAGCGGCCACTGTACGCGGGCTATAGTTACTAGAGCTATAGTGAATACAGTCACAGACCAGAGTAGCCCGACCAGGCTCTCCGACTATTACACATCGTACTCGTAGGACAACGTAGTGTTAAGCGAGAAGGGAACTTGTGGCTAAGACCAGAGTACAGTGTTGAAGAATGAAGATACAAAAATGTGTACAAGTGCCTATGGGCCATGGCAGCAGGGTATGTCTTCTTTGTCAAATATACTCACTCACGGACTTTTTTCAAGTTTCAGCACTCGACACATTCATCCTAAAAATGGCACCAGCGCAAGAAAACGCAGTGACTCGGTTGAGAAACTTCAAAAACAAGGGGAAGGATGTTGAGGTACGCATAAACTTGTTTAGTTTGCACTTTCTCCCAGATGGTAAACTCGGAATGACTATCAATGTATCATAAAAAAAATAAAAAAATACTAGTATGTAAAAGATATAAATGATACCATGTAAAATTGTAAACAATTGCTAAAAAAAATGGTAAAAAATTGCAAACTTGCAAGTTCGATGGACTGATGGAAGGAGATTTTGTTCATAATGTTACTGCTGCTACATGTCAATATGTTGTACAGGAGCTGAGGAGGAGAAGGACTGATGTGTCGGTCGAACTAAGAAAGGCAAGGAAGGAGGATCAGCTCATGAAAAGGCGAAATGTTGACACGTGCCCCGATGACATGCCCACCAGTCCTCTGCAGCAACAAAATACAAACAAGGTACTCTATGAACTCAATGTAAATGTACCTGTATCTTCTCTCTTTCTCTCTCTCTCTCTCTCTCTCTCTCTCTTGGACCACCACTGTCGATACATCAACAAAAGTTGGCTGTGATTGTCAACACCGCGCAACATGTTGTCATAATCTTGTCAACATTTGTCAACTTCCACTTTTCTAGTTTCTAAATTCCGCTTTCTATTATCGACTTATCTGGGGCAAGCAAGTCTGGTGCTGGGAAAAATAAAAATAAAAATAACATCTTTTCCAATGGAGAAGTTTGAGAAGACGTGATCTTTTTGACCAGCATTTTGCTGGTAGTACACTTTCTAACCGTGCTAAAGGCACCTCCTAATGTAAGAGAGCAGGCAAACCTGCAACTGCATGTATGAACAGCTGCTACGCATCCTTCAAAAAACTTCATACAGAACACCTAAAACTGCCATGTGTCTTTCTTTTCCCGCCGCCTCTCACCATCCCCGTCGATAATAATCCGACAAATAAATAATAGATCCTGGGCGTAATCTTTCTGCCAGGCGCCTCAGATGCAGCTGAAGGATATCATCGCCGGTATCCATGGCAACGACGCGGCGATGCAGCTGCAGTGCACGCAGGCGGCGCGGAAGATGCTGTCTCGCGAGAAGAACCCGCCGATAGACGTGATCATCGATGCCGGCATTGTCCCGATCTTCGCGACCTTCCTCAACAAGGACGACAAGTGAGCAGTGTTAGCGGCGGGGTAGGGGTGGTTGCGTGCGTGTGTGTGTGCGTGTATGTGTGTGTATATTATATATGTGTGTTTGTATGCGTGCGCGTGCGTGCGCTGGCGCTGCTTCCTTCGTTTCAGCCCCGCATTGTTTCCTTCGATTCAGCCCAATATTGCTTCCTTTGTTTCAGCCCGGCACTGCAGTTTGAGGCGACGTGGGCGCTCACTAACATCGCGTCTGGCACGAGCGTGCAGACGCAGGCCGTCGTCAAAGCGAACGCCGTGCCGCGATTCATCGAGCTGCTCGCCTCGCCGCACCTCAACGTCAGCGAGCAGGCCGTGTGGGCGCTCGGAAACATAGCCGGTGAGCGAGCGTCCTCGTCTCCGCGATCATCTCTCGCGAAACGTAAAGAAACCGCGACGCAAACGACACGAGGCGAAGTGAATCTCTTGTGAGGCGTAAATTGTCACAGGGTGCTACAAAAAAAACAATCGGTTATGAAACTGGTTGCCCGGAGGCAAAAAGTCACTTGCCCGAAAAACATAAAGAAATACATAAGATTTTTTTCTAATATGAATTTAAATGGTAAATAATGTAAATGAAGGTCCAACTAGTCAACATCCAGCATTTCACTTAACGGCACGGTAGAAAGTTGAATAGCTGATACGAGTTTGTATACAACATGTACAAAGTTTGTATACATTTTTTTAAGTGTCAGTTTATTATCAAAAACCCATCACACTTACAATAAATTAATAAAATATGTTCACGTTTATTTGGGGCTGGAAGTGCAGAGAATATAGCCGTGCATGCATGCAGATATAATAGACTGACAGCACAGTATACACTGCATCTGTTTTTGTGTACTTCAGCAAGGAAAATCCTCATTCACAGGTTGCAGTAGAGGGGCAAACATATGAGGTAGCTGATCACGTAATGGCCATGCCTGGCCTGGGGCTGGGGGCCGGGTTTACATGTTACTTTGTGCATGTTGTGTACATCACTGTATCCACCGATTGTTTCATTCGCATTGTGTGTTTTTTCATTCAAATATCCTCATTG